CTTGCTAGTTTTGTTGTTATTTTAATCAGGCTGTAGGAATCCTGAGCAGCATGTAGTGTAAACTTGTGGGATACTCTTTTAGATTTTAAAATAACAGAAAGGCATCGTTTTGGATTGGGCACCCTCAAGCAGAAACCAGGTCATAAAGTTTCATCTTCCAATATCCCTGTTGAAAGTGGAATGCCCCTTTTCAGACTAAAAGCAAACCTGAAGACCTAGAGGGGTTTTTGGCTTTCAGCCCAAATAACACCTTTTCTTTATTTTAAGACCTAGACAGTCTTGTAGAGATGAACTATGACTTGATTAAAATTAATGCTGAAAAAATTGTAATCAAGAATTAAAATAGAATAACTTATATTTAACAGTGTGGCTTTAAGGCAGATGTGTGCAGCTAGCAAGACACAAATAATGAAAGACAAACCCTCAAATGTGGAAACCATACTTTCTAAAGTACTTCTGAAAATCCTGGTAATAATATCTCAATCTGGAGTTATTGTGGCAGCCTATGTTTTAGTCCAGGTATGTTGTGTTCACTCCTAATAAAAAGCATTCCCTCCTGAACCTTGATGCATACCTATCTGTATGAGGAAAGATTTTTGATTGTGGTTCTGATGTTACAGTTTGGTAATTTGTTCTGCATTGATTAACATTTGCACATGTTTTCCCCTGCTTCCCCTGAGCCTTTTCCTCTGTCTTCCTGCCCTCGGTCCACTCCACCTCCATGCTGTCAACCCCTGGGTAAAACAACAATCCGGCACGACGAGTGCCGATACATGAAATAGTAGCACGACTTCTTTGCTTTGTGCTGTTCTTTGCAAGGGAGAAAATGAGAGCCTTCACATGAGGGAAGACTTTATTTTCCTCTTTCTGTTGTCTGTGATCCCCACCTGTTGTATATATGGTAAAAATATCTGGGACTTATAACCCAGCAACAGTATGCAGCCAGAGTCATGTGTGACCGGGTCAAACACACACTCGCTGGAGGGTCATGGCCAGGTTACTAAGTCAAGGCTGGCAACTCTCCACCATAATGTTTTCTTTCTCTCTCACTCTTTTTTTTTTTTTTTCTCCCTTCTCCCCTTGTCTGTCTTCCAAACAACAGTTTAGAGAGAGAGAAAAAAAAACACACAACAAAAAAATCTCGTAACAATGCAAACTATTTAAGCATGACAAATTCAAAGAAGTTTTTTATTAAAAAAAAATTGGAAGGGGGGGGTGAGTCAATGATATTTTGGATTTAATTTTATAGTATAGTTTTATGTGGCACATGAAAGAGAGAAATTTGTATTGAAACAATTGAGACCCACTTTCCCAGTTCCTGGCTCTTTCCTGGAAGATGATTAAAAGCAGACTTTTTTTTCCAGACGAGACATAAAAATTAAATGATCTACAGTATATAGTTATTTTTTCAAATGTTTGGAGGCTTATAAATAACTTCTACAATCAAATGCACACATACAAGCAGCAGAGAATCTGGTTCTAATTACTTGTACTTTAGTTGAACTTTGGCGTTTCCTTTGACTTTCTGCCTAATGTATGTGAGCTGTGTGCCTTGCACTCCTGCAGTGAATTCACAAAAAAAAAAAAGAAAAGAGAGGCAAAAAATCCACTCTTGTTGGTGCCAACAAAAATGAGGGTTAACAGAATGTTTTGACCAAATGCAACACTTTGCTATTCACCCTAATTAGCTGAAATTGCTGCTTCCCACCAGGGACCCTGAGCTCAGTATTCAAAATTCCCTTGAGGCTATCCAGGAAATGCCATTTGCTTTACAACTTCTTATTCTTTTAAGACTTGACTGTCCAAACTGTGCATTAAGCATACAAGCTTAATAATCTAAGTTTCTAGCAAGGCATTTCATACTGCCTGCCTGCTTCTAGTTGGGCACAAAGTAAAAATACCTCCTCCATCTGTCAACATGGTTTAGCTGGCAGTAAATTAGCTCTCACAAAGCACACTCTGCTTTTAAAGATCTTATCTGCTGCTTTATCTAACCTTTAGAAATATTTCAGACATCTTAGGAATTGTGAAGTGACCAACTGTTTGAGAGTCCCCATGTGTTTAAGCGGCATTCAGGTGCTGGGTGACAGCACTGAGGCTCTGTTTTCTCAGGTGAGTAGGGATCCTGAAGTGTCACATCCCGCAGGACAAGACAGCAGGGCATGGAAAGAAGTAGCTTTTTTTTTTTCTTCTTCTTCAAATTCTTCCTAAAATTGTAAGACTGCTTAAAAATGCCTCTTCTGGAAATGTCAGCTGTCCACCCCCCCCATCTTTTTTTTTCCTTAAGCTTGCATGTGCAGACATGGATAGAAGACAGCGGGGTTCTGCCGTTGTGCATCCACTAGCCAGTGGCGTGATGCAGAAATAATGCTTTATACTTGCTGAGCAAGAATTGCTACAGATGCCTGCACTGATTTCTGTGCTTCCGCGCTGGCAGTACATATGTTTTCAAATAACGAGTTAAAAAGGCTAAATCCAAGGAAGAATAGCGAGTCAGAATCTGGAATAAGGGTAGAGCCCGTGTAACCGGAGTTCAAGCCTTCTCCAGGAAGCTATACGTCTTGCCTGTGATCAAACGTCATTGTTCCCAAACCGGGTTTTCTTATGAAAAATCAAACTCTTTAGACTACGTTAAGCTCTTTCAGTGGTGCATATATATATATATATATATATGGGTGTTTTAGGGAGGGTCTCCTGGCTCTCTCCTTCTCATATACCTTTTCAAATTGTCCAGAAAAAAAAAAATTGTCTAGCCGCACATTCAGCTTTTCAGTTGCTGACTATGGTTTGTCTGTTTATGAACTGAGCTGGTTGCTTCATCTCTACTGGGTATGGCAAGTTCCTGGTGCTTGGCTGGTGCCTGACAGACCTCTGTTGTACATATGGTTCGTAGTTTGAACATTGCTATTGGATGCTGGTGCTTGTTTAGGATGAAATCATGAAAAAAGCAGAAGCATATCGGTGTTATTCCTCAAAGACTGTTTTCCCCAAACTGAAATCACAGAAGGATTGCAGGAGTGCAAGTCGTTTTATTGAATGACACAACCTTGTTTTCCCACAGGGAGCTTAAAAACTGCCTTTTAGATGGACTTGGGAGAGTTGAATGAGCTAATACGAAACACATTGTCTGCTGGTATTAGACTTTTAAAGCTGAAATTTTATTATTCCATAGACTGATTGGAAGCCACCATAATTCATGTATGAGCATGAAATAAGGCAAGGAATGTTTGAGGCCTCTCAAGGGCATTTGATGAATCTAACTTTAATTTAAAAGTACTAATAGATTATTGATTCGAGCAGGATAGTTCTGCAGAGATCAATAACAGAGCACTCTCTGTCTCTCTTAAATACCAAAAATTACTGTTGAAAAGAAATGATCATTCTCATCTGTGTTTTCATTAAGAAAAAACTTCATTAAAGTTTTCTTGGTGCAGTAGGAACCTGTGTATTTTTGGTTTACCAAGGTTCACTGTATTTAATGCTGAAAAAGATAAGTACAATTCTGGATGTTGTCGTAACGTCACAATTTATGGAGCCATGTTATTTTACTTCGCTGTTTTTTCACAGCTTCCTTATTTTCAGATATATAAATACATTGTTCTGGTTGGAAAGATATTTCTTTGCTTAGAATCAGAGCCTTTAACACTTCACTCTAGCATTTATTTTCTTCTCAAGAAATGTCCGTCCTTGAAGTTGATAGTAGCTTAACCCAAGTAAAAATGGCAGAAAGGGGTTTCTCTCACAAGTAATCAGAAGTTGCATCGTGCTTCATGATGCCCTCTGTGAATTCTGCAGAACATGAGTTGACAATGAATCATGACTTTAATACAAATGTATCATCTTTGTAATCTGAAAAATATCATGTACAGTAAATCTTGTCTAAGATTTTTCCATTGAGTAATATTCTTTAGGACCTGCTGCTAGTACTCTTGAGATTTAGCTCTGCTGATAGTGCCTAATATTTCTGGATAGATCTGGGTTCACAGATCCTGTCATTTTTGTGTATCTGTTGAAAAGTTAGAGGGATTTATCTGAGAAGCAGCAGACGGCTAGGTGAAACATGAAAATGTGTTGCACATCTACAATAAATGTGAGGAATGATGACAGCATATCACAGAAAACTAATGCAGATGTTTTGGAAAGATGTAGTTCTCATGTCTTATCTCGCATCGTAGAGCTTTCACGTCCTTTCCCTGAAAGGGATAACTGTCTTTTCAGCAGGTTCAAAACAAATGACCATCTAGACATATTAAGGCAATAAAGGGATGTGGGGTCATAATGTGTAAGTAGCTCCTTCTCAGAGAGGTTTCCTGATGTTACCAACCCTATGGTAGGCAAGGAAGTGTTGCTGGGTGTTGTGCTAGTTTTACAGATTTAAAAAAAAAAAAAAAAAAGACAACTTGTTCAGGTAATTTTCACTTCAGGTCTTATACTTAGTTGTTTGTCTCTTTACATATGTCCTGATGCATGCCGCTATGCTGCTGTGGCAGAATTGCACAGTGGAAGTGCTACCTTTTGTAGAATAAGGCAAAAGATACAAGACCTCTTGTAAAAAAACCTACCAAGATTAGGTACTGATTGAAGGATACATGTCACAAACAGTTTCTCTTTGAAGGTTGATGTCCAGCACGCACACATGGATTCCATGCAATTCAGTAGGCTAAAACCCCAGAGCATGAGCCCAAGGTTGTCCATTTTTGGAGCCTGGTAAGAGATTCAAGCCCTATATCGGAAGCGAGCTCAAGCTTTTGTGGTGTTGAGTAGCTAGATCATGAAAAATGATTGGGTACTTTAAAATATACTTTCAAGGCTATAGCCTGTAGTCCTGTTATTACTTGCCTTATGTTAGTTCTCCTTAAATTTTTTTAGGAAAGACAAATGGATGTTTATTATACAAAGCAAGATATTGGCCAGTTTGATAGTTATCATAAAGTAAATAATACAGTTATTTAAAATTCATTCATGAATCATTCAATTAAATTTCTTTTTTTCTTTTGTAGCAGTTGAAACTCAGAGCACCAGTTCTGAGGAACTTGTTCCGAGCCCTCCTTCACCGCTTCCACCACCTCGTGTTTACAAGCCCTGTTTTGTCTGTCAAGACAAGTCATCCGGATATCACTATGGTGTCAGTGCTTGTGAGGGATGTAAGGTGAGTGCCATCATCTCCCTTTCCTTTTACAGGACCACATTTTATTTTAGAGAGGGGCAAAGCAATGCAGTTTGGTGTGACTTGATTGTCTCCAAAAATGCCTGTACCTTCTTGCGTGAATTAATTCTGATTCATGAGTAAAACCAAGTAAACGACTGTCATGCCTGAAATTATTTCCTTTCATAACCTGCCAAAATACGTCTTTCAGGGACTTCCGTAAGTATTGACTAACATGAGAAATGTGATCATAGATGAAGACATAATCAAAGAATAAAGCAAAAACACTCTGAGACTCTTCACTGTCCATCTGTAGGTCAGATATACCCTGAGAACTTACACCCCTTGTCTGCTCTCAGCCGCCTTCTGTGAGCTGCTAGCTCTGTGTATTCAGGGGGCAGAATTTGGGAAAAGGATCTGATCGTCTGAAATTTTTTGGCATAGTCTCTAACTATCTAACTAATTTCAAATCAAATTGGGAATTTAAGGATTAGCAGGTTGGTATTCACAAAATTTTGTCTGGCAGACTACAGTGCTGGCACATCAGTTAGCTGCTTTCCAGTGCTGTGGTTGTCAGAGCATGAATTGACTATCCATAGGATGTGGTGATAAAATACACGTTCTAACATAGAGAATGCCTAAAGACGAGATAGGCATCAGAGAAGCAATATCAGCTAAGCCTTGTGTGGCATGTATGGCAATAATTAAAGGTGTACACAGAGTTAACAGTATGTGTGCAAGGAAGAAGGTAGTGCAAATAATGCTGAAGAAAAGTTATGATAGGACAGATGCTCTCATGGTTAACTTTATCAGTTATGGTACCCTAGTGCAATGTTCGTTTTTTAACAATTAAAGAAAAGACCTATGATTTTCATTCTTCAAATTAAAATAGTTGTGTAGTGCTTAGTACAGTGAAGATACTAATGCATGCCGAAAAAGTGACAGGTGCTATATCCATATAAATAAAGTTGTTAGAATAAATTCACAAAAGGTGTTTATTTTTGTGAAACGTTATACCCAAGTAACTAGCAATAGAAAGAGAGGAAATGGCCTCAAGTTGCGCCAGGGGAGGTTTAGACTAGATACTAGGAAAAATTTCTTTACTGAGAGAGTGGTCAAGCATTAGAACAGGCTGTCCAAGGCGGTGGTGGAGTCACCATCACTGGAAGTGTTCAAAAAACATGTGGACGTGGCACTTTGGGACATGGTTTAGTGGGCATGGTGGTGTTGGGTTGATGGTTGGACTTGATGATCTTGAAGGTCTTTTCCAACCTTAATGATTCTGTGATTCTGTAATATTTTTCAGATACTGTGCAGTTAGCCATTTTTACTTTATCCTTTGAACCTGCAACTTCTTCCATGCTGCTGGCCTTTTGTAGTGACATAAAATATCATAGCCATGGGTTTGTGTTGCTAGGCAAAAAACTATAGGATTGGAGTCTGGTTTTACCCCTATTTTATAACTGCAGATACGAAGTGGTGAAAGTAACTATGTAAGCTCACCTCAGTTTTAGAATCTATTTCTGGTATTGGGGTTTTCCTTGGATATCATGTCCTTTTTTAACCATTATTTTTTAATTTTAGATGCCACAAAACTGTAAAAACTTAAGGGAAAAAAACTTGTTAGGAAGAACTATGGTAAGAATATGCTGTAACTGATTTCATTAAATAGGAAATCTCATCATACTCACGCTAACACACAAATGGAGGTGTCATTTGCTCACCTACACGTTCCCTCTAAGCACAGATGTAATTGCAGGCTGTGGCAGAAAGGTCACATGTCCCTAAGATTGCATATTTTTAAAAAAACAATGAAAAAATATATTGTAGGGCTTTTATTGGCATACTGCAAAGCATTTTCATTAATAATTGAAGAAAACCCACACTTGTCAAAATACATGAAGAAATCCATCTTGCAATGTAGTAGCCATTACTCAACAACAACAAAAAAAATCATACTAACTTGTTTGCTAATTTGCAAGATGGGGTAATTCAGCACTTAGCAATAGCTGCTGTTAAAAAAGGAAAAAAAAAAAAAAGATTAGTTATACACAAAACCTGTCAGTCAATGACGAATAACAAGATTCCAAAGCAGTGACTTGGCTGCTTGAGACTGGTAATATTTGGGTTAGTTGATGCTACTCTTCAACAGGTTGGACTAGGTTTTCATTAATCTCTTCCACTGATTGAATCAGCTTCCTTAGTGATTGCCAGAAACTGGCAAAGAACCTTATGAGACTACTGAGTCAACCAGTGGTCCCTTGGATGGGCAGTCATGTACTACATTTGCTGTGGAGAGTTGTCTGAGCTTTCAGGCCAAAAGAAGTGGTATGCTGGATGGCAGCGGTATGTGACCACACCACCAGAGACGGCCTCAGAAACCTCTCTGTTGCCTGTTTCTACTTTTTCTCTGAAAAGCGTTACCCTTTTCTCTTGAGCCCTTTTGGACTGTTTGGTTTATTTTTCTTTTCCTTCATCTTTGCTCTGCATTTGATTTCATGCTTTCATTTCTTGGTCCTATACCATAAGAAAGCTGCCACCTTGTACTTCTTATTTCTAACCATCCAGTCTCCTGCCTGTACTCAAGTCTGCCTTCACCCTTAGTTCCCAATATCATTTCTTCATGCTCTTTATCTCCAGCCTTCTTCATACAAAAATTTAGCCAGTTCCTTTCCTTATCCTTAGATAAGCATTGAGCACTGCCACTGGGGAAGCCTTGTCTCCTCTCAATCTCTGCCTTTCAGTTGGTTAACCCAGGTTTATTAGAGAGCCTGTGTTTCATTGAAGGCTTCTGCTGGGTATGGAGCTGGAGTTTCATGCTGATTCTCTGGTGAATGGGGGAGCAATAATAAGGAAGAATTCATGTTACAACCTCTTGTCTAGTTAGGAAACACAAATTTATTTCTCCTTTACCTCAACACACATCTTCATGAAATTTCAAAGAACTGTATTTTCTTTGAGATTTGTAGTTTCGCTAAAGCTGACCAGCGTGTTCAAAACCTGCTGGCATGGTGAGAGGCAACCTTGCTTATGGACAGCTGGGTTACACAAAGCTTATTCCATAAGAAGCTAGACGGAAATGTCAGCCAAATCAAGTACTAATTATCTTTTTTTCCTCTTTTCTTCTGACCTTGTTGCCATTTTCTCTTTCTTCACTCCTACTTCCACCATTTCTTTCTTCGTCTGATTTGCAGTCTCTGTTCTGTGATGTTAAACCATAAATTCACTCTTTACCTCCTGTGTTGCACCTCCCTCTGAGGTCCTTTTCTCACGTCTTTTCCTTTTTCCTTTCTGACTCATTTACCTTTCCCTTCGAACTCCTGGCAGTCTTGTTTCTCAAGGGAGACACATGGAAAACTCTGCTCATATCATATTTATCTAATTAGGGCCCCACTCCTTTTGTTTTTCTGTGCTTGGCTCTCCCTTGGTTTTCTTCTAGTTCTCTGTTTCCTTCTCATTTGCCTTTCTGCTTTGAGCTCCAGTGAAGCTGCTGTCACAGTGATCATTAGCAGTCTCCGTCTAGTGCAAAGGGACAGCTTTCTGGCCTCGAGGTTTTGGGTTGATGACTGTCTTTGATTCAGCAGGCTTTCTTTTTCCTGGCTCTCAGGGCTCTTTAGATTCTCCTCCTACTTTGCTTACTGTTTATTCAGTGTCCCCTAAATGTCTCTTTATCCATTTCCTGATGCTTTTCCCTAAGGTTCAGTTCTTTGGTTTTCTGTCTCAAGAGCATCAGCTACTGACCTGTTTCATGGTAGACCAACGGGGGTGGTCATGGCAATATTCTACTCATAAAGGATGTATTCTTGACGGGTACCCTTCCAGCCATGAGCCCTTGGAGAGCTGTGGATGGCGATTATGACTTTGTGATGCTTGATTTGGGAAGACCTGCGCTGGAAATTTTATCTTCCCTAAATTGTCACCCACCCATGGGTGATTTCCAAAGTTACCCCCATCTCTGACTTCTCCCCTGCTGTCTTTTCCTGCTGTGTCCTCTTCCTCACCTCACTGCTACCTTGGACACAGAGCTCACAAATACAGAACTTTCTATCCTCTCTCTTTGTGGTGACATCAACTATAATGTAATGGCATGCAGTTTTTCAGACATCGTGCCATGATGATGTCATTTCTGATCTGTGGTGTTGTAATTCACACAATGTGTTGTCCTTTTTCCTCCAGGATCTGCCCTCAGGTGCCTTCATTGTCAAACTCTTGGTGTGGTTTTCTCATGTGGTGGTTAATTTCCACTTGGTGTCTTCTCCTGTCCTTCCTTCCCCTTTTCCCCCTCATGTCATCCTTGGACCTTATTCTTTCAGGAACCTGGGAACAACCTCCTAACCTTCTTTGCCAAATGCTTTCTCTTTTTTGGTATTCTAAGTTCCCCTTTTTTATGTGATCCTTCTGTCTTCCTCATTACCAGAGTCTTCAGTACTGTCCCCCACAAGGAAGACTGTTCTGTGGCTTGTTTTGATATACTAGTCTTTTAAGGTTTTTAGAGGCTGGAGTATTTCATAATACGCACTTATGAACCATGATGAAAGTTTAGGAACTGTCTAAATAATTGTAAGCTACCTTGTTTTCTAATTTTAGTGTGTACATGCTGAAAATTTTACTTGTGATTATGAATTTAGAGTACCTGACTTCTTGCCTTCCAAATGTGAAATTTTGGAGCTTTCAAAATTCAAAGCTTTTGAACAAAAAAATATCAAAGCTTTTGATATCCCCAGCTTTTTCTCCATTTGGTCAGTCAAATTCAGCAGTCAGGATTTTTTTTGGTGTTTTAAACTGGTTTAAAAAATAAAAATCTTGGCTTTGTGTTTATTTCTGTGTGTTATGCTGCAAAAGGCTTATGTGTATCATAGCCTGTCAATGGTTTTGTGTATGTATTAGAATCTCAAAAACAGTCTGATCTTCACAGTGCACTTGTATTTTGTAAGAAAAATTCCAGAGCCAGTCCATCTTTTTATGTGTAAAATACAGTACATTGACATTATTCAGCTTATTTA